ACTCCTGGCCAGCTCTGCTCACCTTGCAGGCAGTGGACACAACAGCCACGAGCCCTTTGCTAAACCTGTCAGGAGTGCAAGCAGCACCTCACTCCCTGTCCCTGCTCCAAGGCTCGGAGCAGAGCTGGGCCAGGCACCCAAACCAAGGACAGCAGCACCGAGGTGCCCATCCCCTCTGCACCGTGAGCTGGCACATGCACTGACCTGCAGTTCCACACCCTGGTGTGGAGGGGAGGCCCCCAAACCCACGGCAGCAGAGGACAATCACCGGGGGAAAGGTAACCCAGGCTGGGCTGGAGGCTGAGCTTGCAGGGAAACCAGCCAGCAGTCACCCGCAGTTTCGGAGTGGGAGGGAAAGCGGAAGCCAGGGAACACCTGGGTGTTGCAACCAGACCCAGGGCCCAGCCACATCTTGGGGGAGCGGAAGGACACAGGAACTCCCAAAAATCCAGAGCATCAGGAGGAGAGAGAGCGAGGCAGCCTGGATTAAAGTGGCTGGAAGGAGCTGCCTCAGATCCTCCTCCCCAGCTGAGCTCGGCACGGCTCCAGCTGCTCACAGCCCTGTGTCCAGCCTGGGAACTCCTTCACCTGCTTGTGAAGTGCCGATTGTCCGTGTGGGGCAGCTCAGCCAGCACACAATGGAGACATTGTCCTCGCCAGGGACAAAGATGTCCCCAGCCTGTGAGAGCCCCTGGTCCCTCTGGGTGACAATGTCCTGCTCAAGTGCCACTGCTGAGTGGGGCCTACCTGGGAGGGGACAGAGCCCAGCACCAGAGCGGGGACAGGACACTGCCAAGACCCTGATACCCACAGCAAAGTGAAATCCCAAAGCCAGCCAGCGTCACTGCAAGTGCAGCTGCCCAACTGTCGATGGAGCCAGCCCGATGTGGCCAGGGACAGGTCATCCTGTGCCACTGTGAGCAGCCTTTGGCCACAGACCCAAAATGTTCCAGGGCTGTGTAACCACTGCTCACCTCACTCCACAGAGGGGCAAACAGAGGCCTGGAAAGACAAAGAGACGCTGCTGCCATTGCAGAGCCCTGGGTGGCTCCTGGCACTCCTGATGGCCCCTTTAACCCAAGTGACAGTGCCAAGGTGGCCCGGTGGGGTCGTCCAGTATTGGCCAATTGCCTCTGCGTGTGGCCATCCCAGTTCCTGCCCCACTATCACCAAGATGCAGTGATGCCACCCTGCTTTGGGGCTGCCCAGAGCTGGGACCACTCTGCATCTCCCCAGAGCCAGCTGACATCCAGCAGGAGCCCACGGCTCTGCCTCCCCCGAGCCCCATCCACGCCGGCACCGCCGCCTTCGTTCCGGATGGCGCTGGCACGGCCGGTGCTGCTCGGCTCGGTAATTACTCGCTGCCTCGCCCGGTGCCCGGCTGGGATGGATGTTTTCCTCATGACAGGATGCTCAGCAAAGCCCCACATCCAGGGCTGAGCAGGTCCCAGTCAGCCCAGCCCAAAAAGGGCACAGGAAAACTGCCCGGAGAGCAGGCGAGGGGAGCAGCAGGGCCGTGCCCACCAGTGCAGTGCTGTTGGAAAGTGCTGGAGAGCTCGGGAATGTGCCAAGCAGCACCAGATCCCTCTGCCAGCACCAGCTGGTCCCCTCGGTTCGCAGCTCCGGCGTGGCAAAGCACCCGGGAGCCTCGACACCTCTGCCAGCACCGGGCAGCAGCAGGGATGCTGCTGGCTGCCCTCCCTCCAGGGAGGTGCCGGAGGCAGCAGCTCCTCAGGCAGCTCCTCAGGCAGCTCCCCCGGCTGCTGCTCCCCCGGCTCCTGCTCCCCCGGCTGCTGCTCAGGAACAGCCGGGGAGCCGAGGGAGAGCCCGGTGCCTCCACCAAAGCCCGAGGGGAGCGGGTCCATCGGAGCCGCCCGCACTTACCGGGGAGGTTTTGCCGTCCATGGGCCGGGGTCGGGGCTGGGCTGGGCTCAGAGCCGCGGCACGGCCATGCCAGCAGCGCGGTGCCGAGCAGGGGCCGGGCCAGGAGGTGTTTGGCGAGAGGGTTCGTACGTCAGTGCCAGCGCCAGGAGCAAACCTGTCGGACCTGCCGCCCGGCTCCGGCGCCGCCGGTTTCCCAACCGCTCCAGGCGCACCTGCAAAACACCTGCCCTGTGCCGGCCCGGGGATGCGGGGCAGGGCCAGCCGAGCGCCCAGAATCTGCAGGGTGAGACCTGGCCCCAGGGAACAGCAGCATCTCGGGGTTCCCCGCTGCCCACCCGAACCCCCCTTCCTCCCCTCTATGCCCACCACCCACTCACCCACAGCTCTCCTGCCCAGCCAAGCACACAGGAGGGGATGCACAGACATGCCCAGCCCCAGGAGAACCTCTCTGGTGTGACCCAGAAGTCAAGAGTTCCCTGTTACAAAGGAAATGAAATGCCATTTTCCTCTAGTTTCTTTAGAGGCCTTTTAATTCCTTTGCTAATGGAATGATGCTTCTTCCAGGAGCCTCCTGCCTCCCCTGCAGGCAAAACCTGGGGGATGCTGTGCTTAACCAAGAACTCGGCTAGAAACAAGTGAAAATACCTGGATTAAAGGAGAAAGGCCTAGCTTCATTCTGTGCTTTCTGATAGCCAGAGCCATGACCCTCAGTGCCACACATTTCTCCTGGCATTATTCATAGTGTAAGTCCCTTATTCATCCAGCTCCCCACCCACACCTGCTCATCAGAAGGGCAGGAGACAAGCAGGGACATCCAAGCTTGGAGGAGCGCTGCTGCAAAGCTCCTTCCTTTTGAGGCTGGAAAGCCTGGGCTGGATCCCTCTGACCCCTCCTGCTCTCAGGATCCCAGCTCACAGAGGGGCTCTGAGCCAGCCCTCGCTCCACAGCGCACTCCTCGGTAGTTGTCACAGGCAGGAATGTTTTTTGGGGTTTTTCTGTTTGCTTTCTGTGCCTCTGCAGGCTCTGCAGGGGTGGCCAAGCCCTGAGCTGCACCCCTGAGCCAGGCATGCCCTCCTCAGCTGCTGCATCTTCTTCAGAAAGGGATGCTCAGGAAACAGCTCCAGGAATTGTTCATGGCTACACCTACAGAGAGCAGGTTCCAGAGAACAGGGTGTGTGGCTTGAACCCTGCAGCCTGATGGTAAATGTCAGCATGAACACAGCTCCCGGGTGAAATCCTCACCTTTCCTACTGGTAACGCTGCTGTGAGCCCTCCCTGCACCCTCCTGCCCTCCCAGCCATTAAACAGGAGCTAAAACACACAACCAGAGCCGGCTCCACCAGCCCAGGAGAGCTGCTCTGACCTCCAGGCACGAGGGAATTGGGATGAGGATCACTCTGCTCCGCTCTGTCCTGCGGCAGGGCTGTGCAGAGCCAGCCCTCGGGCCCCATCCCTGCCCTGCTCGGTGCAGCATCACCTGTCTGACCCTGCTGTCACCCTGGGAAAGCTTCCTGGGGGACAGCAGGGAGGGAAATGCACAGGCCCAGGCGCTCCTGGGCTGGGTTTCTCTGTGGTGTGTTCACAGGGAGGCGTTTCAGGGTCAGACACGTCACCCCCAGCTCACACTGTCCCCTCACCAGCCTCTCGTGTGGCACCTGGCAGTGCCCTCCCTGCAGAGCTCAGCTTCCAGCCCGAGTCCCACTCGCCATCCAAACATTCTGCAGAACTCTTGTTCCCCCCCAGCCTCTTTCATTTTCTTCTAAATTGCCAACCATTTCTCCCAAGGCTCTGAACCGCCTCACCCACAGGGCCAGCCCCTTTCCACAGAAAGCTTTTCTGCAGAACTTCCACTTCCCTGCCTTTTGGTCCCGTTGCTTTTAATTGTCATTGCCTTACACAAAACACAATCTGTGGCTTTTTGTGGGACTGGCTGTGCTTCATCTCAGGACTCCTCAGCTCTGATGTGACTCAGGGGCCAAGAGCAGAGTGGCAGGACATCAGCTGCTCTGCCCTGGATGGGAATGAACCCAGGGCAGGGAGGGGATCTGCTGCTGGTACTCCAGCCAGACTGCAAGTTTGTGAAAGCCCTTGCCCTTTGTCAGAAAGGATAAGTCAATGAAAACAGGAGAAATCTCCCACTTCAGGCCTTTAAGATGGTTCTTCAAAGAGGAGCCTGCAGCTTTGTGCCCACCTATATGCTCTCTGAGTCTGTCCAGAGCACTTTTGGTTTCCCTTCTTTTTATCTGCGTCCTTTCCACTAATTCCCCAGTGGGAAATTCCTCTTTTTGTGGAAGATCACTCTTCATCACATGAGGGCCCCAGGAAAGCCCTCAAGCAGGCTCTGAGGCAAAGCAGAGCACTCACACACAGCGTGCTGGGTGATGAATCAGGTGCCAGCATCACCAGACAGGCAGGACATCACTGCGGGGCCAGACCCCACAGCCATGGGGTCACAGACACACCTGGGGGGCTACCAGAGCCCTGGGGACAGTGGCAGCCCCTGTGTGATGCTGGATTTCCAATGTCACCCCTGTGTGAGGGTGTTTGCAGGACACAGGACAGCCCAGAGCTTGTCACTCAGCTCCAGAAATGGAGAAAGGGGCACTTCAGGCTGAGGCAGGAGGCTGAGCCCAAAGGAAGGGAAAGCCAGAACCCCCCTGGGACTCCAGGGCTGGTTAGAACGTGGCTGGATTCAGCTGCTGGCAGGACAGGACACGGTGCTGTGCTCAGGAAAACCCCTGGGACAGGTCACCCTCGGTGCTATCACTCACCTGTGCCTTGTTTTTAACATCTCCTTTCACAGCAAAGCAGCAAAGGCAGAAACATCACTCTTGTACTCGTAATTGCCTTTCTCAGCACGGCCCCGCTTTGCTCAGAAAAGCCCCCAGAATTCTTCCTTGTAAACTCTGTCGGAAAAGCCCAGCCCAGGCTGAGGCTTTGGCTGGGGGTGAGTGGGTGGACAGCGAAGAGAAGTGGAAGTGGCTGCTCAGTGCCTTTGGTGGTGCAGCTCGAACGCCTCCGAGACGTCACTGAGCCAGCCCCTGGGGGAAAACCGAGCGCCCGGCTCCTGCCGGGGCACAGCCCGGCCCTGCTGCCACGGAGGATGCTGAGGGGCCATGCTCCCCTCTGCCACCGCCCTGGCGCTGTGCCTGGCGCTGCTCCTGCCCTGCCCGACCCACGGTGAGTCTCTCGGGACGCTTTTCACCTTCCTGCTGGCTGGGGCTGAGCCGGGTGGGCTCCTTGGGATGCGGTGAGATTGGAGCCGCAGCCTGGACACCTTCGCTGGTGTCTCTGGTGCAGGGCACGGCCGGGGCTCCCTGCTCGGTGCTCGCCTTTCGCTGCTGGTTGGGAGCCCAAAGGCTGCAGCCCCGCTTGTCCCCAGCGGTGTGAGGACAAGGGGACACCGGGGACACAGCGCTGGGCTGGCTGCTTGCCGGAGGGCAGCAGCTGCCCGGGAAGCCTGCAAGGGAAAGGTGGCAGATGTTATCAGCGGGGCTTTTCTGCCAGGTGACAACACCGAGATCAGGCAGGAGGTGTGAAAAAGTCTGGTTTCACCCAGGCAGCAGATGAGCAAAACAGGAAAGCTGAGTCCAAACAGGGGATGAGGCAGGGGATGAGGGATGCAAATACGGCTCCCTTTTGGGGCAGGAAAGCACCAAGCAGCCCCAGCTGAGCTGTCCCCAAAGAAAGAGGAAGGAAAACAGGGGGCTGAGCAAATCCTGGAAGTTGGGAAGAGAAATCTGGGCACAGGCTTGCACGTTTCGGGTGGTCAGCGCTGTTAGGTCACCCGTCACGGGTGATGCTGTGGCCTGAGGCTGCCGTGGGGCTGGAGAGCCGGGGCTGTGCTCCCCCCTGAACTCCCCGTGTGCCCCACAGGTGAGGAGCTGGAGAAGCCCCGGGCCGTGCGCTTTGCTGCGGAGGTGGCGTGGCACCTGCTGAGCTGGGAGCCGGGGCACGGCTGCCCCAGCAATGCCAGCTACGACGTGGAGTACAAAGTGTGAGTAACAGCGAGGGCAACGCGAGGGCCCTGCCCTGCCCGGGGTCTGATTCCAGCTCTCTGCTCACCCCTGGTGCTTCTCCCCACAGCTATGGCTCAGTTGTCCCCTGGACAGCCATCCCGGAGTGTGGGAAGAGCTCGGAGCACTCCTGTGACCTCACCTACTACACCCTGGACCAGGAGCAGCGCTACTTCGCACGGGTCAGGGCCGTGTCCGGGAACCTCACGTCCCCCTGGAAGAGGAGCAGCGCCTTCTCCCCACGGGAAGGTGGGTTGGGCTGTGCCTCCACCCTGTGCTGGAGTTGCTGGGGATGGTCAGGATGCCAAACTGCCTGCAAAGAGCTGTGGGATGAGTGAGAGCAGGGATATTTCCCTCCGCACCTCCCTGGAGAGCCGGTGGGCTGTGCAGGACGATGGGACAACCCGAGGATGGTGGGGCAGTCACGGCTCAGTCTGGTGCTGCACAGGCTGAGAGCTGTGAACAGGAAACAGCCCTGACCTGCTGTTGTGACCGATTTGCTTCCAGCTGGCCTGCGCCTGGCGAGCCAGAGCCTCTCCGTGGTGGGCAACTCCATCCAGGTGCGGCTGCAGCTGCTCCTGCACCGCGGGAACATCACCGTGGAGTACACAGACTTCCAGAAGAAAATGACCCAGTACCACGTGTACGTCAGGAGGACACGGGACAACCACACGGTGAGAGGAGCTGCTGTTCCCGTGCTGTCCCCGTCTGTCCCACACGGTGCTGCTCGAAAACCAGATTGTTCAGGCATGGTCTTCTGTAGGAGTAAATGCTGACCTTTCTCACAGCCACAGCGGCACAGAGAGGTTTCTTTGTGTGTTTTATGGAGGAGGTTTCCAGCTCTTGTGGGCATTTTGGATCTAGCTGCTGTCATCATTATCGTATCACACCCTGGGGACTTTCCCCCTGGGAGGGCAGAGGAGGAGGAGGGAGGGAAGCAGGAGCTGGGGGCTCTCAGGTGCCAGCCTGTGTTTGTTGCAGTTCACAGTGGTGAAGAGCAGCCCAGAGTTCACCCTGGGGGAGCTGCTGTGGCTCACAGAGTACTGCCTGAGCGTGGAGCCCGGCATGGCCAACAGGCCCGTCCCCACCACGCGCACCGACGAGCAGTGCGTCACCACCGGCCACAGGGACAGTAAGTGGGACCCAGGCGAGGGGGGAATCCTGGCATGCCGACCCTCCCCAGCCTCCTGGCCCTGGGGGTGTGGGGATCCACACCAGGGCATCCTCTCGCTGCTGTGTGCACTGAGGACTCCCCTCTCCCCCCTCACCTGGTCACGTCCTCTCTTGCAGGGAGCGCAGAGCTTCTCCCGGGCATCCTCAGCTCCTTCTTCCTCACCCTGTTTTTGCTGGGCCTCCTGGGGGCTCTGCTGGCGTGTACCTATGTAAGGAAACCCATGAGGACACCGTCAGTCCTGGTAAGGGACCCTGTGGGGCCAGAGCAAGGGTGCAGGCCTGGGGAGCGCTGGGAGAGGCAGGCAGGGATGGCAGGCATGAAGCACAGCTCACTCCCCTCCTTCTCTCCCTCCCAGAAGTCCTTCATGAAGCAGAGCTCGCTCTGGGTGGAGCAGGAGCCCCCATCCTCGGGCAGCCTGGATGCAGACCCCACGCAGCAACTCTTCCTGTGCCAGAAGGAGCCCCGGCTGGACAGCAGCCCCGACAGCAGCACCAGCACAGCCCAGCTGCCCCTGGAGCAGGGCTGGAAGCTCCCAGCATGGCCCAAGGACCAGATGGGGCCCACGGGGAGCAGAGACAGCAGCGGCACCAGCACCGACAGCGGCATCTGCCTGCACATCCCCTCCTCCTCCTCCTCCTCCTCCT